CCCACACTGAATCAAGATCTGCACTTGAACGAGAACTGTAGGTAATTTGTAAGCATGGTAAAGTTTAACTGCACTGAGCAGGAGGAAAGAGTCTGACCTTCTGGGTGACCTTGGGCTGACCTGCTCTGAGCTGCAGCGTCCCCACCTGTAAAATGAGTCATTTGAACTAAATCAGTGTTTTTCAAACCTTAGCCCCTTGAGGACACCCTCACAGCTTTTGTCCTGCCAGTTTTCTTCTGCTATAATTATTTTCTTGATCTCTTCCTTTAAATCCCCCTGCTTTGTTCTTCACCTAGCTTTGTCCTAAGCAATAATATCTGTGAAATCACTTTTAAGCTATGCTGGTTGTTTTTTCACATACATAGGAAGTAAATACATAATTATGAAAAAAAATTTTTAATAAATTTATTTATTTGTTTATTTATTTATTTATGGCTGTGTTGGGTCTTCGTTGCTGCGTGCAGGCTTTCTCTAGTTGCGGCGAGCAGGGGCTACTCTTTGTTGCGGTGCGTGGGCTTCTTATTGCGGTGGCTTCTCTTGTGGAGGACAGGCTCTAGGCACGTGGGCTTCAGTAGTTGCAGCACGCAGGTTCAGTAGTTGTGGTGCACGGGCTTAGTTGCTCCACGGCATGTGGGATCTTCCCGGACCAGGGCTCGAACCCGTGTCCCCTGCATTGGCAGGCGGATTCTTAACTACTGCACCACCAGGGAAGTCCCAATTATGAAAAATTTTAAAAGCTGCCTTTCATCACAGCCTAAGTCCCCTCGTATCCCACAGTTTGGGAGATGTGGCGCTCTCCATGGGCCATTCCAGGAGAGCAGTGGGGTTTCCCTGTCTCAGCATCCCAGGCTGCCTCCTCCTTCAGGGGCTAGTTTTGGGGGGTTGGCTCACCTTAGCCCCCTTGTGACCTCTGCCTCTCTCTCTGCAGTCCCCCTGGTTCGACACATGGAGTCTCGGATCATGATCCCTTTGAAGATCTCACCTCTCCAGTGATGCTGCCGCTGCCTCCACCTCCTCCCACCTCTCCCTCAGGGTAGCCATGGACAGAGGAGATCCCAGCCCTGATGTCTTGGTTTTCTCTCAGACTCTGTGGACTCTGGGGGTAGTGCTCAGCTCAGAGAAGGGGGAGCTGAAGGATGATGGGGTTCTGAGGACTCGCAGCCCTGTCCAGACCCTTCCCACCTTCCCCGCCCACCCGTTCCCCTTGCTGGAAGCAGTTGTTAATTTCTCTGAATGAAGAACAGCAACCTTTTGTGTCTTTTCACATTTTCCCCTAAGATTCCTCATCTCAAGGCCACCAGTCCATAATCATCACCATGGAAATCCTCAGCTTTGCTTAAGTTGCACAAAAGGTAGTGTGTCCAGTGGTTAGAGGTGGGGTGGGAAGGGAGGAGGTCAGACCAGGCCAGGCTCTCAGGAATTCCCTGGTCTCTACTGGGCCAACCACTTGGTGGATAGTCTGAGCCAAGTCCCTTATGCTGGAGAAAAGCCTAGAACTGCCTCAAGAAGCAAAAGGGAAAACCCTCAAGTTAGCTAAGTCAGCAGGACATCCACATATTCCACCCAGAAAGGCTGGGAAAAGGGATGGGAGCTGGGAAGGACCTGGGGGAGGGAAACAGAATGGAACAGGAACCCAGAAGGTAGAACTTAGAACTCAGAACTTGGGTTTGAACTGAAGAATTTGGAATACAGAATTGGGAAGATAGAACAGAGATGACAGAAGACCACTTGGGGAGAGGTTCCTAATACAAGACAGTTGGAGAGAGGTGCATCTCTTTCTTCCCACATAATGAGGTTGAGAACTTGAATAAGTTGTTCCAGCCCTTCTGTGCAGGGAGTGTCTTCTGCCCTCCCTATTGCCCTCCTGCAGGCAGAGCTACGGACTAGGTCCCGTATTTCCCTCACCCCGTATTCCTTTTCTCCCTTTTCACATTCTCTTAGCCCAACCCTCATTCCACCAGGCCATCAGGTGTGTTGAGTGGGGTCAGTGACTTTGGGGACCTCCTCAGTGACCCCCACACCTCATAAACTTCTGAGTAGCTTGATTCTGCCTTCGTTTCAGGAAAACTTGTGCTGGAGTCACTGATGGAACCAGTTAAATATTTACTATAACCATGGTGTCTTTTCTTCATCTGCAAGGAAATTTGGCAGGTGCCCCAGGCAGGGCCAGCTTCACAGGTCCACCTGGCTGATCTACCCCACTGGAGGTTATTGCGTTCCCTGAGCTACTTTTGGGGAGGGCCTCCTACGGCAGAAGGAAATACACTGCATAACCAGGGATTCAGGACATCAGTGTTTCTATCTTCAGATGAGTAGGATTTACTGAACCTCAACAGTACGATTCATACCAGGGGTAGAAAATACTTGAAGCTGTCAAATGCTGCATTAGATTTGTGACTCTGCCCTAGGGCAAATCGGGCCTAAAATGGGGATGAACTTGGTGGGGGGAAAGAGGCAGGGTAAGATGGGATTAATGCCCACCTTGACTTGCTGCCCTCGCTAGTGTGGGATGTTCGGGTGAGTATGACAGTGGTTAAGAATCCAGGTTATGGAAGCAAATTCACAAGTGTCCAAATCATGGCACTACTACATTGTTGCGTTATCTTGGGCTCTCGACAAATTCATTCAACAAATACTTGGCCGAGCACCTACTAGTTGCTGGGCATTGCTTTAGGCGCTGGGGAAAGAATGAACGAGGCACATAGTCTTTGCCCTTGCGACTTCGGTTTCCTGGTTTCAGAGGGCAGCGTGAGGCTGTTGGCCGGCTGGGACCCGCCCAGACAACCCAGGTGCCACCATCTCCTTGTCCCCTCGCAGCCCAGCAGCCGCCCGCACGGCTTGGTGGCTGCGTCGGGACCCTTCGCGCTCCGCTTCCGGCCTCCACGCCTCACTTCCGGTCGGCCGCTCCTTCCTTCCGCTTCTCTGTGGTGCGGGAGCCGCGGGAAGTGGCTCGCTGACCGGGACGGGTCGGGGTGCAGTGTGGTGAGGAGAGCACCGGGGTGGGCCTGGGCGCGCTGGGACTGGTGTGCGGACCTCCCGAGGGCGTCCCCGGGCTGGAGTCTGACCCGGTTCTCCGTCCTTATTCTCCGGGGACCCCGGCCGCTCGGCGCCGCACTCTCAATTTCCTCCTGTGGAAAATGGTGGCTGCAGCATCGTCAGGCCTTATAAAGAGCAGCTTCTGGATAACGACCACCACGGTGGTGGTATCAGCTCACATTTATTATGCGCTTGTGTGTGCCAGGCACTGTCTCCTGTCTTGCCAAAGTCAGGATTTCCCACACTTAACGCTTTTCGGGTCCCTCTGTGAAAAATCAACTTATCTTGTACGATTGTTTACTAAAGGCTTTTAATTGAGTCACTTTTAAAATTTAAATTTACTTTGAAAGAAAAATTTAAATCTTTACCATAAATAGAAAACTTTTCTAACTTGTCCTATGCAGAAGGTAGTGATAAAAATTAATGTATTTAATATGTAAAGGTTATCGTTAATAATTGTGGCTAGATTTCATTGTCTAAGGATCTGAGATAGAGTCCTTTTGTTAACAAAAGGACGTTGTCATTCATAGATGTTAAAGACTAACTAGGGAAATGACATGTTCTTCTTGAAGCAATCAGAAGTTTCTAAAAAGAATTGAAAGGGATTAACTTTCTCCGTAGGTGTTTAACATTATTAACCACTTGTGTACCATTTAAAGCCCAGCTCTCAGATCATCTTCATCACCTGCCCCAGTGGAGCGCCTCCTGCATTAATGTCCACAACCACCTCTGAGGTAGGGATGGCTATTTTCATTTGATCTGGGAGGAAGTAGATGCAGAGAAAAGTGAAGTGACTTGTTGCAGGACTCATAGCCATGAAATAGAGGACTGGAGACTCCAGCCCAGGGTTTCTCTGCCTCGACTCTGTTGAGGCATTGGCTCCCTCAATAAGTGTTGGTGACAGATTCACTGGGGTATGGGGGTTAGTGCTGCCCACCTCAGGGCCTGCTGGTGACAGTCAGTAGAGGTAGCAGAGAGAGGATGCTTTGTGACGCTAGAGGCCCATGAATGTATGTTCTGTTCTTTAAAATTTTTTATTTTCTATTTTATTTTTATTATTTTCTTGGCTGCGTTGGGTCTTCGTTGCCGTGCGCGGGCTTTCTCTAGTTGCGGTGAGCAGGGGCTACTCTTCGTGGCTTCTCTTGTTGTGGAGTATGGGCTCTAGGAGCGTGGGCTCAGTAGTTGTGGCTCGCGGGCCCTAGAGCTCAGGCCCAGTAGCTGTGGTGCATGGGCTTAGTTGCTGCGCGGCATGTGGGATCTTCCCGGACCAGGGCTCAAACCCGTGTCCCCTGCACTGGCAGGCGGATTCTTAACCACTGCACCACCAGGGAAGTCCCTGTTCTGTTCTTTTAAATTTTCACGTCAACCAGGGAGTTGGTGGCATCGCCAGATGACATGGTGGCAACACTACAAGATGCAGTAATGTAGTTGTAAGGAGCACTGCTGTGGCATGGGTTGGACCCTAGCTTTAGCACACTAGCTGTGTGACCTCGGGCAAGTCATTCACCTTCCTGACCCTCAGTGTTCTCACCTGTAAAATGGTGCTTGTTCATATCTGAGAGGATCCTTGTTACAAGAACCAAATGAGAACATACCTTTGAAGTGCTTAGATTAAGGTCCAGCACACAATGATCAATCAGTAGTGTTGAGAATGGACTTATGTGCCTGGCTGAGGAGTTTGGTCAGTGGGGTTGTGGTGGTGCCTTTAAAGGAGGTGGAGTTGGGGAAGATGAGTTCATTTTGAACAGGCTGAGGGATGATTCTGCTTTTTACAGAGGATTAAATTGAGGCTTTGGAGGGTTGATGACTTTTCTTGAGTTACCAAGAGTGTAAGTGGGCACAACTGCTAGTTAGACTTCAGTATTCTGACTCTAGGAAAATCTCCAGTTCCAACTCTGGAAAAGCTCAGAAGCTTTCTCCTCTTAACAGGTCTCTGCTGTTTCCTCCTGACTTCACCAAACAACCATGTCATCGGAATCGAGCAAAAAACGAAAGCCCAAAGTGATCCGAAGTGATGGAGCTCCAGCTGAAGGGAAGCGTAATCGTTCTGACACTGAACAGGTGAGATCAGCCAGGGCTGCTGTGCTGCTGAGAAATTGCAGCTCGTGGCCAAGCACCTGGCTGTGGGTTTGCAGCAGCCGAGGGTCATAGGCACAACCTCCCAGGTGGCCTCTGTTTGACCAGGTGCCTGGAATTCCCTTGGCTTTTCAAGACCTGAGAATCCACATCAGATTTAGCTGCAGCATCCCAAGAACCAACAAGCCTGTACTAGACAACGATTAGTGCCTGAACAGAGAATGCATTCTAGTATGGTGTGTGTCTCCAGCTTTCCTGATGGTCAGAAGAAGGCAGTCCATCCGCAGCAGGCCACTAAGGCTTTGGAGATGTGACATCCCTGGTCTGCTACCGAGACAGTACCAGAACCATGTAGCTAAAGAACGTCTTCTGAGGCCTGAGTGCTGTCGTAGTCAGCAGGTTCTTCTCTTGCTGTTTCTCTGTCCTTGAATCTGTCAAGCTGATTTATGACTTAACAATTTTTTTCTTCTCCGTTATGGTTTATTACAGAATCTTGAATATAGTTCCTTGTGCAATGCAGTAGAACCTTGTTGTTTATCCATTCTATATATAATAGTTTGCATCTGCTAATCCCAAACTCCCAATCCATCCTTCCCCTTGGCAACCACAAATCTGTTCTCTGTGTCTGTGAACCTGTTTTGTAAGTAAGTTCATTTGTGTCATATTTTAGATTCCACATGTAAGTGGTATCATATGATATTTGTCTTTCTCTTTATGACTGACTTCACTTTGTACCTAATCTCTAGGTCCATCCATGTTGCTGCAAATGCTATTATTTCATTCTTTCTTATGGCTGAGTAGTATTCCATTGTCTATATATACACCACATCTTCTTTATCCATTCATCTGTCGATGGACAGTTAGGTTGCTTCTACGCCTTGGCTATTGTGAACAGTGCTGCTATGAATGTTGAGGTGCATGTATCTTTTCTAATTAGAGTTTTGTCCGGATGTGCCCAGGAATGGGATTGCTGGATCATATGGCAACTCTATTTTTAGTTTTTTGAGGAACCTCCATACTGTTTTACGTAGTGTGCACCAGTTTACGTTCCCACCAACAGTGTAGGGAGGTTCCCTTTTCTTTACTCCCTCTCCAGCATTTATTTGTAGACTTTAATGGTGGCCATTCTGACTGGCGTGAGGTGGTACCTCACTGTAGTTTTGATTTGCATTTCTCTAATAATTAGCGATGTGGAGCATCTTTTCATGTGCTTCTTGGCCATCTGTATGTCTTCTTTGGAGAAATGTCTATTTACTCTTCTGCCCACTTTTTGATTGGGTTGTTTGGTTTCTTGTTATTGAGTTGTATGAGCTGTTTGTGTATTTTGGAAATTAAGCCCTTGTTGGTCGCATCGCTTGCAAATATTTTCTCCCAGTCCATAGGTTGTATGACTTAACTGTGTTGATTTTTTGGTTGGTTGTGGTTTTTGTTTGTTTTTTAACTAGAATAGAGAAACATACCAGCTTCAACTTAAATGGAAGATGATGCTTTCCTCAGATTTAGGAAATTAAAATTAACGAAGAACCTTATCCTTTGGGAGGTATTGATTCTGACTCTTTTTTAAAAAAATTAAATTGAGGTATAATTGGTATATAACATTATATTAATTTCAGGTGTACAACATAATGATTGATATTTGTTTATTTTGTGAAAAGATCACCGAAATAAGTCTAGTTAACATCCAATGCGTTACATAGTTGTTACAAAAATTTTTTTCTTGTGATGAGAACTTTTAAGATCCACTCTCTTAGCAACTTTCAAATATGCAATGCAATATTTTTAATTGTAACTGACTCTCTCTTAAAGAGATGTGTTTATTTATTCCAAAGTCTGGGAGACCAATTAGGATATTTTAGTTTCTGCTAAAGCTTGATTTGACCGTCTAAACACCCATCAGTAGAAATTTGGTTAAATGAATTCTGGTTCATCTATATATAGCCATTTTGATGGAGATTTATATTTATTGTGATGGGAAATTGCACTAAATGACATGAACAATATGATCCCATTTTATTTTATTTATTTATTTTTATTTTTTATTTTATTTTATTTTTTGCGGTACGTGGGCCTCTCACTATTGTGGCCTCTCCCGTTGCGGAGCACAGGCTCCGGACGCGCAGGCTCAGTGGCCATGGCTCACGGGCCCAGCTGCTCTGCAGCACGCGGGATCCTCCCAGACGAACCCGTGTCCCCTGCATCGGCATGCGGACTCTCAACCACTGCACCACCAGGGAAGCCCTTATTTATTTTTTTAATGTATTTATCTACAGTACTAACAATGGAGTTACTTCAGGCTGGGAGGTGAGATTATAGGCAAGTTTTTGTTTTGTTTTTGATACTCCTGTCTATGTTCTGAATCTCTGACACCAAGCATGCATTACTTTATAATCAGAAAGAGGAAAAGAGGAATTCTTTTCCATTTTGAAAAAAAGAAAAACATTTGATTTGCATACCAGATCCTTTAGAGACCTGATTTGGGGCTTCACTGTTACTCATCTCAGCCAAGTGTCCCTGTTCCAACAGGGAGACTTTTACTCTCCACCCAAGGTCTGTATCCTTGCCTCCACAGGAAGGTAAATACTACAGTGAGGAGGCTGAGGTGGACCTGCGGGACCCTGGCAGAGACTATGAGCTGTACAAGTACACGTGCCAGGAGTTGCAGAGGCTCATGGCGGAGATCCAGGACCTGAAGAGCAGGGGAGGCAAGGATGCGGTAAGGAGTGGGGCTGGGAGGACACGGACCTGGTGGGTCTGCATGGATGGACCTGCTTCGCACCTATCAGAGCCCTTCTTTATATTGGTCTTACGGCCTGCCATCATCATGGGGTTAGAGCCTGAGGGCTCCAGAGACCTGCCTATTAATTTATTGTAACATCACCACCCAGTCATCAATTACAGTCACGAAAGTACAGGATAATTAATTTTTTCCATAACTGTAATTTGATAATTCATCCAAATGATATTTATTAAGTGCTGGTCATGAAGAAATTATGGTACGTGTCAATCACCATTGCTATTATAAGGCTAGATATGTACAAATAAATCATAGAGACCAAAAATTAAAGTATTAATATTAAATGAAAAAAAAGGTTTCAGGGCAGAGAAGCAAAACAGTGTGACTGAAAACTAAATGGGTAAGTTCAAAACAAAACAATCCATATTTTTCCAGGAATCTCACTTATTTGTGCTTATACTGGCCAATATTGTTAAGATTATTACATTCTATCTATTTTACTGTAGTCAGGTTTTACAGCTGTAATTCTGCTATTTTCATTTAAATTATCCTGTAATGTTGTTTACAGAGGTCAAGTTGTATGGCATGATGTTATCGTTGTTAGGATCTCTGTGTACATTGTGTAGAGACAGCTGTTGTTTGCATTGGCTGCCTTTGCTCCATCTTTGATTCCTGTTACTTTGGTCCAAGCAGAAATTAGTTTTTTATGCCTGGGAACCTTAAGCATTCCCTTATACAGTCATTCTTCCATTTCCCCCTGACACTTCTTATGGTTCTGAGCTCCTTCCAGTGTCTGTTTTTTGTTTTTTTTTTCCGGTATGCGGGCCTCTCACTGTTGTGGCCCCTCCCGTTGCTCCGGACGTGCAGGCTCAGTGTCCATGGCTCACGGGCCCAACCGCTCCGCAGCATGTGGGATCCTCCCAGACCAGGGCACGAACCCATGTCCCCTGCATCGACAGGCGGACTCTCAACCACTGCGCCACCAGGGAAGCTCCAGTGTCTGTTTTTGACTCTGGATGAGGATGAGCAGTGAGGGGCTGAAGGCAGCTGAGCCAGCTCCTGTTGTCAGGGTCTTTACCAGTTTTTTTGGCCTGTAGGCAGTTGAGATCGAAGATCGGAGGATCCAGAGCTGTGTGCATTTCATGACTCTAAAAAAGCTTAACCGATTAGCCCACATCAGGTTGAAGAAAGGAAGAGATCAGACTCATGAGGTAGGAGCTGAGAGATTTAACCCTCCTCTTCCTCCTCATCCCCTCTTTAATCTCCTTTACCCCTTTTCTGAGTTTGCTGCTGCTCTGCTCTGCCCCACCCCACCCCTACTTGCCCCACTCACCTCTGACCTTGTCCTCCTTTCAGGCCAAGCAGAAAGTGGACGCCTATCACCTGCAGCTCCAGAACCTGTTGTATGAGGTGATGCACCTGCAGAAGGAGATCACCAAATGTCTGGAGTTTAAGTGAGTGTTGGAGCACAGGGCTTTGGCAAGATGGTCTGTTGGTAACTGCTTTTTCCTACATAGCTCAGTGTGAGCCAGTTTCTTTAAAAAGAAGTCAGATGCACTTAGAGACTACAGGATCTGGGGGAAGGGTGAATAGATCACTTTGAGTGGGAGAATTGGAAGCAGTAGTTCCAGGCTGCACGAAGAACTTCAGAAGGCTGTCTGACCCTTTTGAGTTTTGCGCTCTGAACCTGGTGAAAAACAGTTGTCTCTCCCCAGCAGGCAGAGCCTTTGCGTTACCAGTTTGATTCCTGAGCACGCTGTATGGGAGCAGCTCATTTCCAATTACATCTTTTTAACCTTTTGGCCCAGCTTTCCTCTCTAAAGTTCCAGCAATTCATTTTTGCAAATGGATTTCATTATTTGGAACCTGAACTTCTTGCTGCCTAGCTGCCTTTAGGTGAACAAACTACAGTTTCTCAGTGTCCTTAAACTGTGATGCCCCTTGGCAAATGCAAGCTGAGAGATGTGAAAGAGGAAGGAATAGACAAAATAAGAGAAGGGAACATGTTCTTGCCTTGTCAGATCTATTTGTGTAAACTGAAAGGAGTCAGGTTTTATTTGTAATAAACTTGGGATGAGGGGGACCACGTTAGGCATTGGGTCTGGTGTATGCTGATTTTTGAGAGGTTTCTTTATCTGCTTCACGAGTCCATCCACATAATAATATTTAAATACTAATAGAAGTGAAATCCACATCAGGTACCTGAGTTAATAGCATTGTACAATTGTCAGTTTCCTAGTTTTGACAATGTATTATGCTTAGATAAGATATTATCATTGGGGGAACCTGGGAGAAGGGTTCATGGAGGAAATAAACTCTCAGTTTAAGACTTACAAGAAGTTTCAAAAATAGTACTATTTAAAAAGAAGAAAGATAGGATGCTCCACCTGTAACTGTGGTTGAGATGAAAGCCAGCAAACCCTGTAGCGAGGCAGGTGGCCATGTGGGAGGATCAGGGGCCCTGGAATCAGACAGTCTGGGTTCAAATCCCAGCTCTCCCTCTCCCTAACTGTGTGACCTTGGGCAAGCTGCTAACTGATGGAAGCCTCTATCTCATTTGAAAAATGGAGATAAAAATCCCCATCTCAGTTATTGTGTGTCACTGTACATCAACAGTTAGAGACTCTAGATCTTTTCACATCTGGTCATACTATGTTGGATCTTCCCCATGCTATATTTAGGCAGTTAATAATTTGAACTTAAGGGTAGACTCTTATGTTTATTCCTGTTAAATGGCATTTTTTGGTTTCAACCTGACAGTCTAGACCTAGACCATGGTGTTTTTATTTGATTCTTTAAGCTTAGCTCTCTTGCACAGCTTGGAGAGGTCTGTAAATTTCATAAGTGTATTTTTAGGTTTTCAGCTAAATCATGGATATAAAGTTTGGGCAACATGGATAAGGATCCTGTGGCATGTCACCAGCTACCTCTCTTCACATTGAAACACCTGCTAATGAGCATTTGCTGAGAAGACTGGATTCTAGGTTCCTGGGTAGCTGTAAACCAGGGCTGAGTTGACGTACACGGGGTGGAACTCTGGGCCTGTTTAAGCCACAGTTTGGGTTTCTGAGGGCAGCAGCTTGACATTGAGTTTTTTGGGTTTTTTTTCTGCGGTACGCGGGCCTCTCACTGTTGTGGCGTCTCCTGTTGCGGAGCACAGGCTCCGGACGTACAGGCTCAGTGGCCATGGCTCATGGGCCTAGCCACTCCGCGGCATGCGGGATCTTCCTGGACCGGGGCACAAACCATGTCCCCTGCATCGGCAGGCGGACTCTCAACCACTGCACCACCAGGGAAGCCCTGACATTGAGTTTTTGACTGCAGGTCAAAGCACGAAGAAATCGATCTGGTCAGCTTAGAGGAGTTTTATAAGGAGGCTCCTCCAGATATCAGCAAGGCGGAAGTCACCATGGGAGACCCTCACCAGCAAACCCTTGCACGTCTGGACTGGGAGCTGGAGCAGCGGAAAAGGTAGCATTTCCTCCTTCCTGACCTTGTTCACCTGTGCAGACACAGACCTTTATCCATGAGGGACAGTGCTTTGTCCTGACCCAGGATCAGATAGCAAAGCACTGTGGAACCAGCAGAATAGTCTCTAAGACCAAATCCCGTTTTGTGATTAATTCACACTTATCAGTTCACACTTGACCAACTGCATCATAAGTGGGGTCAGAATTGCTTAATGCCGTTATGTGAAAGAGTAACCTTTTATTTAAAATTTTAGTGCCTGAGACCTAAATACCTTTTGTATTATTAATCTGATTTTTTTTTGCCTTTTCCCCCACCTGTAAGCATATTTGTGTGGTATTGCAAAGCTGTGCAAACATTATTTTAGAAGGTTGTACAACATTCCAGAGTAAATTGTAAATCACAAAATTGTTCCCATATTGAATTGGACTTTTAAGTTGTTTGCATTGTTTTGGTATTATAAGTAATGCTTTGAGGCACCCCTTTACATATAAAACTTTTTGTACTAATAAGGAGCTTTTATTTATTAACCGTAAGTAGAATGTTTATACTGTGTAATTTAATCTAGATCTTCTTTAGAATATGGTATGTATATTTTTTTCATCCTGAACTTTTTATGGTTGCATCCCTTCCATCATGGTGACCTTTTTCCCTTTCATGTTTGTACATGAGTTCCAGGGCTTTTGGTTGGCACATTTGTTCTGTTTTCTGTCAGAGAAGCTCCTTTTTTTAATTCCTTGCCTTTTTCTGTTGTTGAGTATATTTTGTGCCTTTGGTCTACATAATGAATTTAATAAGTACTGAGTCTGGATCTTAGGGACTTGGTGTCAGTTTTTTAGCAGATGGGGCTGGCCTGTCACACCCCTGTCCAGTACATCACTTGCCCTTGGCTAAGCCATAAGTTCCTGTGGCTCTGGTCTGGAATCTATCCCCACTCTGCCCCACTCAGGTCCATGGGCCTCATTTGTGTCCTATAGCTGCTGAGTCCATATATTTGTGAAAGTTCTGGGTCTAGCCTCTGAGGCAAGAAACGGAGCAGTAGGTGATACCAGTGGTCATGGGCACAGCCTCTGAAGCAGACAGGCATGGGTTCAGAGCCCAGCTCTGTGCTTGCTCTTACTGGATGACCTTGGGCAAGTTATCTACCTCCCTGAGCCTTCGTTTCCTCCTTTGGGGATAAAAAAAAGTCCCTATCTTCCAGGGTTTTTATAAGGATTAAATGCCATAATGCTTGTACACCATTTTCCAAAGTGCATGGCACATAGTAAGTGCTAGGTAAACATTAGCAGATAATCGTGACTGCTGTCATTAGGTAGAGTCTGATAGTGAACAGGTGTGTTGGGGTGTCCCTGGAGAGCATCAGGCGACAGTGCTCTGTCTTCCCCCAACAGGCTGGCGGAGAAGTACCGAGAGTGCCTGTCCAACAAGGAGAAGATCCTTAAGGAGATTGAAGTAAAGAAGGAGTACCTGAGTAGCCTCCAGCCTCGTCTCAACAGCATCATGCAGGTGAGGGTCTCCCCATACCCTGCCACCTCCTCGGCTTTTGCTTTGCCTTCACCACTCAGTGACACATTGCTGACCTGAGGCCACCAGCAGCCACATCACCCTGTGGGTTTTGTCGGGTCTGTTACCCTAATCAGTGTTAGAGCACAGTGCAAGGATGGTCCCGTCTGCATGCCCACAGCAGGTGTGATACGGTTGTGTCCTGTATGGAGGAATTGCTAGCAGGATTGGCTCTGGAACATATACACACACGTACCTCGGCGTTTTCTTTTCACCCAGCGCCTATTCCGGGTAAAATGCTTTCACAAACTGTAAGTTTAGTTTACACCTTGCATGATCTCCACCAGCCCACAGTCCCCGGGTATCTAAGCATGCTTCCACAGATGTCTGTTAGATCCCCCTGACTGCACCTCAGGGGCCAGCTGCTCAGCAAATCTACTTGCTCTGAAAAGAACTTTACTCATATTTGAAAAGCGTTAGGTACCTTAGGAGGAAAAGTCCCCACTTTACTTGTAAAATGTAATTTCTTTCTATATAGGTGACCTGATTTTTGTTTGCTTTGTGAAGCCAAATTTGATCTAAATCTTTATAGTTTTATAAAGCAGGGTAAATGGCTAATATGGAGGAACTTTGTAAAAGAACCCTAGTGAAATTGAAGATTCACTTTTGTAGGATTTGGCAAGATCTACATTTCTTCTCTTCAACTCTAGGCGTAGAATTAGAGTTAACGAATATGCTCAGTAACACTTCATATGGGACAAAAATCAGAAACTAAAAATTTTGGTTGTACTTAAATTTTTCCAGTTAACTGGAAACACTGAATGCTCCTAAATAGGGTACAGGTTAAATAAATAGGGTACAGGTTAAATAAATTCTTGTGTGGTTCAGTCTTAAACCTATAATGGAAGTATGGAGAATCCTGTTACTGACAGAATAACTGGACAGAAAGATCTATTAAATTATGAAATCAAAAACTGCAAGTTGTAGAACATGTATAATCCCATTTGTATACCTTCATTTACAGAGTATTCGAATGGGTGTATGTATGTGTAAGTCATGTATGTGCTTAGAAAAGTATGTTTTCACACCAAACCATTAACAGTTACCTTTGGTGGTTGGGAACTGGGAATTTTTGCCTTATAAACTTGAATACAACTTTTAAAAAACATGTACATATACTCCTTAAAAAAAATAATTTTATATAAAGAAAAGCATACAACTCGTAAGCATACTCACAGTTCAGTGGATATTCCCTGTGTACACATTTGTGAACACATCTGTGTAATCACCCAAATCAAGAACATTAGCAATTTTCCAGAAGTTACTTTATTCCCCTCCCAGTCACTGTCCCCCCCACCCCATAACCATTAATCTTGACTTCTAACATCACAGGTTAGCTTGGCCTGTTTTTGTTGGTTTGTTTGTTTTGTTTTTTTGACTGCTACGGGTCTTCGTTGCTGCGCGCGGGCTTTCTCTAGTTGCAGCGAGCAGGGGCTACTCTGTTGTGGTGTGCAGGCTTCTCATTGTGGTGGCTTGTTGTGGACCACGGGCTCTAGGCACACGGGCTTCAGTAGTTGTGGCATGCGGGCTTAGTAGTTGTGGCTCACGGGCTCTAGAGCACAGGCTCAGTAGTTGTGGTGCATGGGCTTAGTTTCTCCGCGGCATGTGGGATCTTCCCAGACCAGCGCTCGAACCCATGTACCCTGCATTGGTAGGCGGATTCTTAACCACTGTGCCACCAGGGAAGTCCTGGCCTGTTTTTTAACTTATATAGATGGATGATATAGGTACATATTCTTTTGTGTCTGGCTTCTTTTTTTTTTTTTTTTTTTTTTTTT